CCACCTCCTAGACCAAAGTCCCTAAAAACTCCTGCTCTCCTAATTGGGAGCTGGGGAGGAAGGGAAAGAGGGAGGGAGTAGAGGGGTTGCCATCCTCTATTCTAGGTAGGGCTGGGGATGGGACCTGAGGGGCCTGACAAGGGGGCTCCTCATCCTGCCCCTCCCTTACACCCGCCCCACTCTCCCCAAGGGAGATTCATAGGTGGCCCTTCAGCTTTCAAAAGCATTCTCCACCCATGGTCTGAATTTACCCTGGCAGAGGTTCCAGTCTCGTTCTGTCCTGAGGATGCTGAGGTCCCCAAAGGAGAAGGACCTCCCTACTCCTGCCATCTGCCATCCACCATCCGCACAGGGGGCGGCAGGAGCTAAGGGAGCCCTTAGCTCAGGGGTCTCAGAATAGCCCCTCTCCACCTCTCAAAGGTCCCTCCTATCACCTGCCCCTCCTACACGCATGTACCCCTAAGCACTGATTTTTTAAAAAGATGTTATTTATTTATTCATGAGAGACACACAAAGAGAGGCAGAGACATAGGCAGAGGAAGAAGCAGGCTCCCTGCAGGGAGCCTGATGAGGGACTCTATCCCAGGACCCCAAATCACGATCTGAGCCAAAGGCAGACACTCAACCACTGAGCCACCCAGGGGCCCCTAAGCCCTGATTCTTTATCTGATCCCTACTTCCCCTCTCACTTATCCACAGCCCAAGCTCAGTCTGGACATGCCACCAACCCCAATACTGTAAGTACCATGAGGCCAGTTTTCCTACTCTAGGATTACCACAGAGCTCAGTGAAATATGTGAAGGAAGGAAGGAAGGAAGGAAGGAGTGAATGGTTTCTAGGCCTCCTGCCCCATCCAGTATGCGAACTCCTGCTTAGTCATCAGATCTCTGTGGAACCTGAGATGCCCCTTACCCCCCCAACCCAGCAGGGAGCTTCCTGACTGACCAATATGGTGACACTGTACTTGAATGATCTGTTGTCCCAGCCATCTCCCTGGGGACCAGGGACTCCTTGAGGGCAGAGCCTGGTCCGCCTTGTTCTCCAAGGTGTCCCAGTGCCTGGCACCATAGCTGCTGCCTAAATACTTCCGAATGGAGCCAAGGAATGCAGGGTACTCTGGCTCCCAGCTCCAGCCTGGACCACCTGGAGGAGTACAGGACTGAGTCCATCACAGTCGCTTCCTCATTCTGCTGCTGTCACCTCTGTCGTCATGGCATTCCAGGCAGTGTGGGATTTCTTCATTCCCTCCCCACTTTGTTGGGGAAAAAAACAAAACAAAACAAACTTAAGGCAGCTGAAACCCCGCATGGCAGGACTGGGATAAGGAAAGGAGTCAAGGAGGTTGGAGTCAGGGCCCTTCTGTGTGGTCGCCTGCAAACACAAGGGCTTTCTAGAGAGTTCTGCTGCCCTGGCCCATGGAAGTAGAGTGTTCCACAAATATTTGTTAAAGGGTTTAAAAGACTGTTTTCTCTGACTCTCAAACCACCATGCCAATCCTGGCACCACCCCCTTTCCCTGCTGATACCAGACAATCAGAGGACAAGGTACCTGGGGTCTCTGATCTGGAGGTCAGTGCCCTTGTTTTAGAGAAGTCATCCAAAGCCCAGAGCCCAGGGCAGATAGCCCCAAGGAACACCCCCTCCCGCACCAGTGCTCATTGCTAAATAGTCACTGTAGCACATTCACTCAAGAACACAGCCAGAAGTCCTGGCCCTGGACTCCCAGTCCAGTGCCCCTGCCTGTGCCCACAGCCACCTCCCAGAGGAATCTCAGCCCCAAGGCACTAACTCCCAAGACTAGAGCCACTAGTTACCCCCACGCTGCTTCTAGATCTCCTAGGCCTGGCAGCCTTCTTTCAGCTGTTACCACTACCTTGCTTGGCAAGGGGTACTCAGCACAGCACACTCATTACAGAGCTGGCAAGTGGCAGGGCCCAGATCTCCCCTCAGGCCTGCCTGACTGAAGAGCCTGGGCTCTTCCTGTTGGGCCAGGCCTTTGCTGATATCACCACTGCAATACAGAGTAGTCAGTGTCAAGGTCAGGAGAGAGGGGGTACTGCTTGGTAGGGCTCCCATGTTGGATTGATTAGGTCAGGGTGAAGTTCCTGGAAACAGCATCTGATCAGGGCTTTGAAGATCAGGGAGGATCTGGTAGGAGGAAAAGGGAGAGGGAAGTGACTATGACAGCGGCAGGAGAGCCAAGGTATGTCTGAGGGACAGCATGGAGCTTCTTTGACTAAAATGAAAGTGTGTGGAGGGGAGGAGCAGCAGTGGAGGCCCACAGTGGATACTGGGATGAGATAGGCCTTGGCCTTGAGAGCAGATCAGTGAGATTGGGCTGACTCCTGAAGGAACTAGGGAGCCACTGCAGATTCCTGAGCAGGTGAACAACATACCTAGCAGGAAGCAAGACTTGCTGGACAGGGGTAAGGGGTTAGAGAAAAGGTGGGGATGCGGAGGAGGGGCTCTCTCTTAGTAACCAGCTCAGAGCAGTCTGCCGGATTATTATTCTAGGATTTATATTATCAGATTAACTAGCTGTTCCATAGTGGGCTGGAGATAGGTGTCAGTGGAGGGAGAAGCAGGCAGCCACAGGACCTGAGAAGGGCAGACTGGAAGAAGTGTGTATACTTCCCTTAGATCTTTATCATGGGTAACTCCAGATTCCTGGGGGCTTGTTTGGGGCTGAGGATGATTTCCTGCTGGGTGAATGTTTTCTTCATGCTTTCCTGGGTAGCCTGTGTAGGGAACTCCCAGGTGAGTCCATACCGCAACCTGTGGGTGCCTGGAAGCATTTGGCCCAGAAGCCAGAGACTTAGATACAAGTCCTAAATCTACACTTACTCTTTTTTTTTTTTAAGATTTTATTTATTTATTCATAATAGACACAGAGAGAGACAGAGTGAGCGCGCGGGCGAGAGAGAGAGAGAGAGAGAGAGAGAGAGAGAGAGGGAGAGAGGGGCAGAGACACAGGCAGAGGGAGAAGCAGGCTCCATACAGGGAGCCCGACACGGGACTCGATCCCGGGTCCCCAGGATCGCGCCCTGGGCCAAAGTCAGGTGCCAAACCGCTGAGCCACCCAGGGATCCCCTGTCTTTCCACACTATTAAGTGAGGTGAGCTGCTTGATCCCCGAATGATCTGGGCTTGTGTCTCCTTCCCAGGGCTCCCTCAGCACCTCACCCTGTGCCTGTTGGAGCATTTCCTGCCTGCATTCATTCAGAATACATTTCTTGAACAGGCCCCTGTGTGAAGGCTACTGTGCTGGGGGTAGGGCGCTTGTGGGGATTCAAAGATGGGTCCTGTGTCCAAGGACCTCACAGTCTAGGAGGGCCAGGGCTGCAAAGCAGGGCCACGCTGTGGTTCTCCAAGGGTCCTCTCACCTATTCTTCCTCTTCCCTCCTCTCTGGCAGTAGAGAGGAATACCTCTCTGGTATCAACCACCCAAACTTGGCTCATGCCATTGTGCCAGCATGGAATGAATGGATTTCCTTTCCCTTTCCTTCCTACCCTATATTTTAGGGCCCAGCTCCAATGCCATTCCCTCCACATAGTCTTCTAGGATTCTTATAACCCAAAGCCAGTTCTCCTCCTTTAACCTCCCAGGTACTTGCTCTCTTCGGCACATTTTTCTCACTCGTATTCTGGATGATGGTGCCTGTATCTTATCTTTGGGAGGGCAAGATGGTGTCTGATTCATTTCAGGATCCCCAGAACAGTGTCTAGGGGCTGCACATGGTAGGAGGAAAGAATGTGAACAGCTGCTATCATGGAGGTAGGAATAGAGTAAGTGGTGGTGGTGGTGGAGGTGGGGTGTGTGCCCAGGCAGAGGGGGAAGGCTATTGAATTCAGAAAGGAGGAAATGGCTTTATTGTATGAGGGAGGGGCTGTGAGGCAGGGGAGGACAGTCAGAGGGCATGGAGGCATCCATTACTTGAGTCAGACTTGCAGTTATAGGAACCCACAACTTCTGCCCCTGGGCAGGAGCAGGGGAAGCAGATAAGCTGATAGCAGGCCTGCTTTCATCGAGCTGTAGCTTTACGGAGGCTTCCTCCATGTCCACCCTACATCCCCACCCAGAGGCCAAAGCCCGGCCAGGCAGGTGGCAAAGGGAGTCTGTGCAGGGTGGACTAGGGAGGGGTCACAGAGGGAAACCCTTCGCTAGGCACTGACTGCACTGAGTGAACTTATGTACATCAGCTCGCTTGATCCTGTAAAGCTGATGTAAAATGCAGATCATCACCTCCATGTAGGGAATGAAATGGTTTGGGTTTACAGAAGTGAAGTTACTTGCTGAAGTCTGACAAGTGGAGGATTTAGGGTTCAAACCCAGGTCTTCTGACTCCCAGAGAGGAAGCACTCCTCCCCACTGGCTGAGGTCTGGCTGAGGTCGCGAGCACCTTAGGAGCAGCTCTTGGATAGCTGAGAAGGCAGGGAGCAGAGGTCAGGGCCCTGGGTAGGGAGATGGGGTTTGTGCTTCCTTGCCCCCTAGGCCTGCCTGCCTCACAGGTGGAGGGTAAAGCCTATCAACACCGACATGCCATGCCCGTGAGCTGGCAGCAGTGTTCCCAAACCAGTGGCAAACAGGAAGAGGGCCAATACCACAGTTCATGGCAGGGCAGTGGGTAGGCTTCAGGATCTGGCCCCCCCGCAGGGGCTGGAGGCAAGCTCTCTTCCGCCTTGGGGAGTGAGGTTCTGCACTACAGGACCTGATCAAAGGAGAGCTCATTAGATAGCACCTAGGTGGGAAACTGAGGCCCAGGGAGCCCAGGTGTCTCATCCAAGGTCATAAGGCGAGCTAAAGATACATTTGAGACTAGAACCCAGATTTGCTGATCTTTTTAATGTCCACTGGCCTCGGCCCCGGGTGGGCACCCCTGCTCGCCTCCTGCCGGGGTCTCCGCCGCAGGAACACACCCCGGACCCGCCGGAGGCTTGCGCGCCGCGAGCATCCCTCCGCACTCCACCCCTCGGGATCCTTTAAGAGGCGGGGCTTGGCTGCCAGCCCCGCGGCCCCGGCCAAAGGCTGGGACTTTACTCCCGCGGCGGAGAACCAGCCCGTGCTCCATCAGCTCCGCAACCGCCGCGCCCCGAGCCCGAGCCACTATGAGCGGCAGAGTCGGCGATCTGAGCCCCAGGCAGAAGGAGGCACTGGCCAAGGTGAGCCTTGATCCCGGCCCCCCCCGCCCCCCCCCCCGGGCCGGGGCCTCGCCTGCCGGCTGCCGGGAGCCGGGAAGGGGCCGACCGGGGGCGGGCGACGGAGGGAGTCACGGCCGGTGGCACCCCGCGGCGCGCCCCTCCCTCCCGGCCCGGCCGAGGAGGCCCCGGGGAAGTTTGGCCACCCCAGCCTCCGCCCCGAGTGAGCCCTTGGCGGTGCCACCTGGGGAGAAGTGGTTGCCTGGGAGCCCTCGGAGGCAGCCAGGGCACAAAGGCAATATTCATTCCGGAGCCTGGCAGCGGGGGCCCCCCGGGGCAGGGGCAGGGGTAGGGCCCCAGATTTCCTCCCATTTCCGGGAGGTTTTCCTCTTGCGGGGGCAGTGGCACCGCCAACAGGGCCCTGACATCTCCGTAGGATACTTGGAGAGCCCCTGCTGGGGCACCAAGTCTGTCTGCGACCTTGGGCAAACCCGTCCTTCACTGTGTGCCCCTTGAGGAAATGAAATGAGGGGTTGGACCCCACGATGTTGAAGGGAGCACCCTTCTGTGTGAAGCCTGGAATCCCATGGGTGACTTACTGGGTTGAGGTTAGTTTGAGCTCAGACGGGCCCTCCTCTGTCCTGCGGTCCAGGCCCCTCCCTGGCTGGGAACTCAGGCAGATGCTCTTCAGAAGGCTAGGGAGTAACCTGGCTTTGCCCCGGTGCCTGGGAAGAGGAGGGGGCAACAGTTTGGAGGCTGGATCCCTTCTCCACCAACTGACTCTACTCTTTGTTGCCCTTAAGGAGATGGGAGGTTGGCTGTCCTTGACCCCAGAATTGATGGGGTCTGGTCTCAGGGTTTGGATGCTCACAGCCAAGCAGCTCTCCGTTGCTTGGCGCTGGTGGCGGCCGGGGGGGGGGGGGGGATGTTGGGGACATGTGTCTCCTGCCACGGCTGGCTGCGGGGCTGAGGCACCAACCCTGTGAAAGCTTTGCCCCAGGCTGGGCCTCCTCCATCCCAGGGAGGCTGGATAGGGAGGTTTCAGGTTTTACTGCTGACCTGCAGGGGAAGTCAGGCAGAGGAGGGATTAGGTGGTGATTAAACTAGAGACCAGAGGCTGGGTGGGGTCCTTGGTGAGGGGTGGGCCCTGGAGGACCAGTTTCCCTGGAAGTCTGGGAGCTGTTTGGGGGATGGGGCTGGATACTCTGAGTCCCTTGCTGACCTAGGCAAGGGGCAGAAGTGGCAGGTCCTCATTGGTCCCCTCCGTGGTTGTCCTGTAGGTCATTGACTAGAGAAGGGTGAGTGACTGGGAGCAGGAGGCATGGGGACAGCATTGGGGGGGGTGCTCACCCACAGGGTAGTGAGCAGTTGGAGGTAGATGTGACCATCCCTCAGGGTCACTGTCCATATCTCTTGTTTGGCACTCCCTGCACTTTCCCCCTTCGTGGCTTCCTGTTGGAACTGTTCCCTCCACCTGGATGGCCCTCCTCCCTCCTGCTACCTTTGAAGTCCTTCAAGCCCAAGCAAATGTTTTTTTGGCACCTGTTTTGGTTTCTGGCAAGTGTCTTTTTTGAAGTCGTCATGAACCCACTGTCTTCCTGGGCCAGTCACAATCCAACTCTTCCTTCCCTCTACTCCCCAGCACAGTGCTCCCCAGTCCATGACTAAGGGGCAGAAGACTACAGTGGAAAGAGTGCACGCTCTGGCCTCTGACAGACCGGGGTTTGCATCCCCGCTCCTCCGATTACTAGTTGCTCAACCTTGGGCATGTTACTTAGCCTCTCTGAGCTCTAATTTCTTCATCTGTAAAATGGGGACAGTAAGACGTCTAGAGATTCTGAGTGAAGCATGAAGAAGATAAGTGCCAAGTTCAGTGCTGGGCACACAGGGAATGCTTGGCAAACAGCTTTTACTGTGGCACGTCCCAGAGTGTCTACTATCACAGTTAGCTGGGAACACATATGCCCACTGCCACACTGGGGAGTGTGGAAGTGCACACAGCAGGCAAGGGTAGAGTGTTACTCCCTTCCTGCCTCCTCCTTGCTATCCACTGAGGCAAAGAGTGCACCATGCAGCCTACGTGCTCAGCCGGTGTCTGCAGAGTTGACCCATGCTGTAGAGGGGTCCAGCACAGTCCCTATGGAGAGTCCTGGGCAGCGGGTGGTCAGGGTGGGACCTGCCACTCACCCTACTACCTCTCCCTACAGTTTCGGGAGAATGTCCAGGATGTGCTGCCCACCCTGCCGAATCCAGATGACTATTTTCTCCTGCGCTGGCTCCGAGGTGAGGGAAGAGGGGCTGTGGGAGGCTGGGGCAGGGGCTTGTTCTGAGTAGCAGAATGGCACCCTCTGGGAACCTTGCCCCTGGCAATCTTCAAATCTGGAGAATTCAACCTTTAGAGCCAAAAGGGCCCTTGGCGATTACGTAACCTTGACCCTCCTATTGAGTAGATAATGACACTGAGGCTCAGAGAGGTGAAGTAACTTGTTCCAAGTCACACAGCATTTGAGCTACAGGCAGAGAGAAGTCTAGAGCTGGTGGGCTGACTCCCAGCCCAGTGCACTTTCCACCCATTCCATAAATCCACTCTGCTGATGGACTTTGGGGAAGTGGATTGAGGAGAAGCCTAGGAAGACCCAGCCATGTGGGAAGCCTGAGGCAGAGCCAAGTTTAGAACCAGAGTGCAGGCCCCTGGGAGAGGCTGATCCCCCTCTGTGGCCTTTTGGGATGGCAGGCCAGCAGTTTAGGGCAGAGTTTAGCTTGCAGGAGGGGCAGAGTGCCTAACTTAGGTAGACAAGACTACCCTCGAGCCCCTACCGGGTTCCAGAGCCCTGAGTTCTAGGTCTAGCTCTGCCCTGGCCAGATGATGGCATGTGGGCCAGGTGCACACACCTGCTTTAGGTTCCTCTCTGGTAGAATAGGACCAGACAGGCTGCCCTGCCTGTTGCAAGATGTAACAGGATGGAACTCTGCATGTGGTAATGAAATGCATGGCTTTCTCGGAGCATCAGAGTACAGCTCAACCCCATGCCCCAACTCCTGAGATCTCTCCTTTCTTTTTTCTCTTCTGCTCTCAAGTGCCACCCTGATTCCTGTGACACTTCTTTTTTTCTTTATAAAAACTTTATTCCTGGCCATTGAAATAATAGAGAAAATTCCACTGTGTTAGGCTAGCAGAGATTCAGTTGTGATATAGACTCATGGCCCCCAACACTAAAGTGTATACCACGCCCGATTGTTTATTTATAGACATAGACACACACATACTTAACCCAGGGGTCTTGGGACAGGTGAAGAGATGTATATTTCTTTTCTTGCCAGAAATGGAGCTGCCACACTCTGGGGACCTACTGGTAGGCATCCTAGGGGTGGTGCAGCCAGGAAAGCCACATGGGGCCCCTTGTGTCTCTGAAAGTACCACTTGACCCTTTCCCCAAAAATGCTGTGACCACCCCCCACCGAGCCCACTCAGGTTGGGTGGAGGGGCAGCACGGGGGCGCAGTGAAGTCGGGTCCAGCGCTGGAGGATATTTTGGTCTAGCATTTGCTGAAGGACTATAGCTAGAAGTGGGTGGGTAGGCAGCGTGGGAAGGCTGTGCTGCCTTAAAGAGCCAGATGCAAGATGATCAAACACACCACCGAGCTGCTGTTAGGTAGAGATGAGTGGTTTCAGAGAGCTGAATAATAACGCAGCTCTTTTATCTGAGAGGAGGCTGCCTGGGCTCCTGGTGGTTGGTTTCCCAGGCATTCCCAACTCCCCAGTCCTGAGATAACCCCTCTCTTTGCATGCAAGAATATCGAAGAGTGGGGCACATGGGTGGCTTGGTCCCTTAGGCTCTTGGTCTGCCTTTGGCTCTGGTGCTGATCCTGGGGTCTTGGGATTGAGCCCTGAGGTGAGCTCTCTGCCCATCAGGGAGCCCGCTTCTCCCTCTCCCTCTGCCTGCTGCTCTGTTTGCTCATGTTCTCTCTCTCTCTCTCTGTGTCACATGAATAAATAAAATATTAAAAAAAAAAGATATCGAAGAGTATAGTCATCCTCCTTTGCCAGATGGATGGCCAGTGGGAGGCCTTGCCAGCGGAGGCCCAGAGCGGGGAAGGCACGTACCTGAAGGCACACAGCTAATGAGAAGCAGAATCAGGGCAGCAACCAGGGGTCTCAGGCTTTCAGGCCAGTGTTCTCTCCAGGAAGCCACAGCTGCCCCTGAAGCCACGCTCTGCCTCTTCAGACAGAGGAAATATCTCCTTGGCACTTTATTTGTGCCTTACATTTCCCGGGCAGGAGCTCAGGCCTGGTCAGACTCTACTGTGAATTTCAATTAGGGTTTTTGTTGCCTTTTTTTTTTTTTTTTTTTTTAAGGAAACCTTTTCCCTCTCTGCCTTTGATTCTAAAGGAAACCTTTTCAAAGTGCATGCTAGCAGAATGTCTTTCTCTAACCTAGGTGTTAGTTCAGGCTTCCACTCTCGGCCCCTTCCCCTCACACGGGTTTAGTTTTCTGTGGGCCTCCTGGCCCTGATAGCTGGCATACTAGTCTGTACTGCTTCCCCCTGAGTGGGGCTGAGCTCTGGGCTTCCCAGCAAGGAGGATCAGATGGCCTGATGAAAACAAGAAGACAGTAGAAACTGTGTGTGTGTCGGGGAGGAAGGGGGCAAAGCCGGTCTGAGTCTCCTCCTTCTTCAGGATTCAAAAGTGATCAAATAAGAACCCAGGATAGCTGCTCCTAGGTCATGTTCTCTGGCAGTGCCCTAAGCCATGCTTTGATCTGCCTCAGACCAAGGCACAGGAACCCTGGAGAGGCCTGACTCAGCAGGCACCGGGAGGTACCGTGCCGGGTGCTGCCAAGGCCAAGTGGCAACTCAGGGAGGGCCCTCAGAGAAGACCCTGGGTGTTGGGTGCTGGCAGATACAGGCTAACTAGAGAGCTGTCCGGTGATAAGGGGTCACACACACTTCACCACCACTTCTGTTCCTATGGAGGATTCCCACTCTCACAAACCAACTGGGCTCCCCCATCATGATAGTGTGTTGCTTTGCATCTTTCATGTGTTTCTAGATCATTGATGATTCAGTTGGAGATGTGCAGTATCTCAAAGTCACACTGGGAGAAAGGGGAATGGCTGAGATGCAAACCCAGATTATATTCCTCCTAAAGCTCCCCCTTGCTGCCATGATGGTGCATGAAATGTGGCCATCGGAAGAAACTTCTTAACAGTAAAGGCCGTCAAGTTCTACAAATGTGTGTGTGGCACCGATGACGGGTGTGGCATTGGTCAAATCTCTTGATGCCCTCTTCGGGTGCAGGACAGTGGAGTGGATTTCATGATAGCAGAGTCAGGGAATATGCTTGGCCACTCCCAGAGATCAGTGATTAAGGGACCGGTGACAGTCCAGAGGGCAGCCTGTCTGGCCCAGGTTCCAGGGCTGTCAGCAGATCTAGATGTCAGTCAGATCCAGAGGACAGAGGGCTGGGAGGGACAGTTCATAGGTCAGTTGGCAAAAATTGATCAGAATCTGGATCTCAGAAACTCCCTAAAGGATGAAATGGAGTGAGCCAACGGTAACAAGATGAAATCTGATAGGGATGTATCCAGAAAACCGCTTCACAACATATGGGATGGAGCCTTAGCTGCAGCACAGCTGAAAAGGATTTGGGAGGGTCAGTTGACTATAAGCTCCATCTGAGTTAAGGGTATGACTGTTGCCAAGAAAGTTCTTAGGCTTTATTGGAGAAGGGTAGGCAAGGTGCTGTGCTCATTTCTGGGCAGCCCGCTTTAAGTAGGACACTGGCAGACTGGAAACCATCCAAAGGGAAGTTCTGTGGATGGACTTGAAACCAGGCTGTGAGGAATGGTCCAAGAAGGGATCTATGGATGGGCAACCTGACAGCTGAGGGGACGCAGGTGGCAGCCCAGAATTCACCAGTATTGGAAAGCCTGTCATGTGGCTGAGGAAGGGATCCTACTTTCTGATTGCCTCCTGCAGTGGATCTCCGCTTAGCATAACAATGAGCCCTGAGTGCAAATAGCAGCTTGGATTATCTGGAAGCAGGTGGTTTTGGGGGGCAGTGAGGTCTTTGTGTTCAAGCTTGAGCAGGATGACTTGGGGATTGGAGCATCAGATGAAGAGTTGGCCTAGGTAAACTTTAATTCTGAAGCTTTCCAGGAACCCTGGGAGGAGGGCCCTCTGTGTCCCATGAGGGTCTGTGTGGGTCCTTGGCAGATATGGCAACGTTGACTGGAGGCTCATCAACCCTTCTGTCCTCAGGGGATGTTCTACTAGATCTGCCCCAGATTATGGGGCAGCGGTGTTCATCTTTGAACTGTAGGTCAAGTTCTCAGAACTGGATGTTAGACCGTGAAGGAGATTAACTTTGTGCAGAGGGGGAAGGCTGATTGATAAAGGGGTCCAGGGTTCACTTTCCTTGAAAGGAAATGAGATCTTTCACCTGTTGCATCCACTAGGGTAAAATTCTTTTGATTCTGAAGTTACAAGGCTGCACCCACCTGCCCTGATCCTTGACCTGCTCTTTCGGGATAGTGGTGTTCCAGAAAGCCCTAGAGAAGGTCTTCCTAATAAGCTTCTGCGTGGTGGAGTGATTTAGGAGTCAGCTGGGGGTGAAGTTGGGGAGGAGTCAGCCCCAAGCACAGGAATAGAGAAATCTCCCTTACCTTAGATGCCCAGGCCGCTGGTCTAACCCTGACCACATTTCCCTGTTACAGCAAGAAACTTCGACCTGCAGAAGTCCGAGGCCATGCTCAGAAAGGTGAGATCTATTTGGCTCCATATCCTACTGTTGCCTGCCTCGGTTCCCACCCATCAGAATCACACTGGGCCTGGACTTCCTTTGCCCACTCTGCCCACTCGATCACAGCCTCTGGCTCGTGTGGCATATCTGAGTATTAGCTGACCACTGTTGCCTTATCCCTTTGGGACAAAGTACATTCCCTACCCTGGTAACACAGAGCTTTCATAGTTCTGGGCCAGCTAAGAATTACAGTCCATTCTGCACAGACCTCAAAAATAGGCAGTGCCTTCTTCTCCAGTCCTGCCACTTGCCTTCTCGTGACATACCTGGAGCACGGTATTACCTATTGTTGGATGCCTATAAGGGGTTCCTCCATCCCAGCTTTTTTAAAGTCCTGACTGTATTTTTGCAGCATGTGGAGTTCCGAAAGCAAAAGGACATTGACCACATCACAAGCTGGCAGCCTCCAGAGGTGAGGACAGATGATCTTACCCCACCCACTATGTCAGTTAGGTCCATCACACCTACAATCTGTATCCCGAGTCTGTCGGACTGGGACCCTCAGAGGAGAGGTCTGACCATGCCAAGTGAGCCCTAAGAGTTCCAGAGTGGGTATCCATTGCCATCCAGGGGGAAAGGCTGTGGAAGGAGAGCCTGATGAACCCATAGAAAGGTCCCGGGATACAGGGAAGGTATGGCCTCCCCTGACCTGCTGACCAGATGCCCCTTCTATGTCTTTGCCCAGGTGGTCCAACATTATCTGTCAGGGGGCATGTGTGGCTATGACCTGGACGGCTGCCCCATCTGGTACGACATCATTGGACCTCTGGATGCCAAGGGTCTACTCCTCTCAGCCACCAAACAGGACTTGCTCAAGACCAAGATGCGGGACTGTGAGCGGCTCCTGCAGGAGTGTGCCCGCCAGACCGAAAAGGCAAGTGGGCTTAGCTCGGTTGAAAACGAGTTCATCACTGTGAAGTGTTCAAGCAGAAGTAGGCATATCACACAGGGATTTACGCATAACTTCAGGGCTGAGGCCCAGAGGTTTGGATTTCACGGACAAGTGAAATCTCAATGTTTTAGGGACTGACCCGTGTTGCCACATTTCTATTTTTTTCCAGGGCTTAAAAGGAAATTTACCGGCTACTGTTGCTATAATTAACCCCCAAAACTATAAGAATGGCATAGTCTCAGAATAAAGGGAAGTCCTTTCAATCAAAGAAATTTACTTTCATAGATAACATACTACATTATATTGCTTTTCTCATTCATCTGAGCATCTGTAAAATCTTTGTCATAGTATTGGGTTCTGTTGGTGTAGATGAGCTCAGAGTCTGTGCTTCTCTAACGCTGCATTCAAAAAAAGATAAGGACAGGTGATTCCCTCTCTGAGAAAAAGGCTAAAGGGAGAGAGCTGGAGCCACCCCGATCTTCCTTCCTGCCTTCCTCTCTAGCTAGTGTAAGGATGCAGTGAAATGATGTCATATATCTGGAAACATCTCAACACTGTCATTCACAAACTTGCACTGAAAGCCTAATGTGTCCAGAGACCCTGCAGGCTGCGGATGCAGAGAAGCGCTAGATGGGCACCCTTGAGGACTAGGTTGGACTGAGAGTCTCTGTGCCTCTGTGCCAGATAAGTGGTCACATAAGGCCCCATGGACTGGGCGCTACCAGGTGCTGCGCCCAGAGGAAGAGGCAGGCCATCAGGCCAAACTGCAGAACAGGAGGGACCTCAGGTATAATCTAGATCCACCCAGTTGTTTACTGGATAAGAACAGGGACACTTAGGCAGGAAGAGTGACAAGCCTAGTCTACAGTTTTGGCCTGGGGGTGATTATCTCAATTCGGAAAACCCTAGATATGGCCCCGCCCAGATACGGTTGCCATTTCAGCACACAAGCAAATCAGCTTCTTGCCCTGAACTGGAGTAGGTTTCTGCAGTGCGGCAGCCTGATGTGACTTTCTGCCCCTCTGCCCCTTGCAGATGGGGAAGAAGGTGGAGACCGTCACCCTGATTTATGACTGCGAGGGGCTTGGCCTCAAGCATCTCTGGAAGCCAGCAGTGGAGGCCTATGGGGAGGTGAGGGGTGGGGCTGGGAGGAGGGGTGGGGAGAGGAAAGAAAGTGGGTGTAGGCCACTCTGCTGGGATGCCCTGTGGGTGAGGCCACGGGGGCCAAGTCTAGCCTGCAGAAGGCAGGGCCTGCCTCCCTGGTACAGAGGTCTGAGCTTGCTGGACTCGGTGATCTTGTTTCCACAGTTTCTCTGTATGTTTGAGGAGAACTATCCTGAAACGCTGAAGCGTCTTTTTGTTGTTAAAGGTAGGTTGGAAAAAATAAATAAATAAAGGTAGGTTGGGAGGTATCTGTGATGAAGTCAAATGGGAAGGAGGGGCCAAAAGCATTCCTGGGCCAGATTCAGGAGAGTAGAATGGGATGAGCCAGAGGAGGGCATCTGAGGACCCCTGATGTAGGCAGACCAATTCACAGTTCACAAAGCTTTTAGGATTTATTACCTCCTTGGAACCTCTTGGACCGGTGACGTAGGAAGGCTACACCCGCTGTCCAGACAGGGAAGCTGGAAGTAAGAGGTGGCCATACCAAGCCTTGCAACCTGGGCTGCCTGTGTGGGCCCCACAGCACTAGGGAACCTGTGACCTGACACAGGGGTCTGTGGAGGACACTGTCAGGGACAGGGTGAGCCCTGCTCCTGGTCTCACATCACTTGGTCTCTGTTCCAGCCCCCAAGCTGTTTCCTGTGGCCTACAACCTCATCAAACCCTTCCTGAGTGAGGACACACGCAAGAAGATCATGGTCCTGGGGGGTGAGTAGCCCAGACTCTTCTCAACGCCATGGGATGGTACACGACCCAAATCGGAGATAGCTTTAGAAGTGTCTAGGGCAAAGGCTTCCTCTGTTGGGTTGGTAGTGGTGGGACCCAGGAGCAAGTGGGGGCTGGGCTAGGGTCTTCCCTTCTGTTTTCATAAGCACTCTTTCTCTCAGACACTCTGGAAGAAAGTACTGAACACTGTAGGTGCAAAGATGAATGAAACACCAATCTTTTTTTGTCTTTTTTAAAAAAGATTTTATTTATTTATATGAGAGAGAGAGAGAACAGCAGGGGAGGGGCAGAAGAAGAAGTAGATTCCCAGCTAAGCGAGAAGCCCAACTCAGGCTCCATCGTAGGACCCTGTGATCATGGCCTGAGCCAAAGGCAGACGCTTAACTAACTGAGCCACCCAGGCACCCAAAACACCAGTCTTGTCCTCAGGGAGCTTACAGTATTAACAGGAGAGAAGCCGGTAGAGAAAGTGACAATACAAGCTAGAAAAGGTACTAGAAATGGCAGAGGGAAGTGCCACAGAGGTCACAGGAGCAGAGGTTGCTTTTAGTTAGGGGCAACTAGGAGTGGCTTCCTTTGATGAGCACCTGCTGTGTGCCGACCCTGGACCAGGTGACAAAGATGAATCAGACAGCGTCCCTGGCAGTGCTCTTGGGGAAGGAGAGTCACAAACAGACATGTAGCAGCACTGCAGGTTAAATGTAAAAGCGGGGAATCAAGAAGGGGGTGGGAACAGTGAGCAGGGGCACTCACCCCTCCTCACCCCAGTTAGGGGATGCCTACCTCATCTGAGTGCTAGGGAATGAGTAAGAGGCTGCCAGATGAAGCCAGGCGGGAAGCCGCTGGGCAGAAGGAATAGCACTGAGCACAGACCTTAGGCGCTGTGGCTCAGGCCGTTGTAGAGAGCATGGCAGGGCAGCGGGGTGGCAGGGCTTGGGGAGAGGTGCAGCTGGAGGGGAGCCGGGAGATAGGCTCCCTACCGTGCTGGGAAGCTGGGACACAGCTCTACGGGCTGTGGGGAACCAAAGAAGGGTTCTGAGCAAGGGGAGTACCAGGATCAGACTTTAAAGGCAGACACATTTGACCAGCAAGCCTGTGAAGGACAGGTACCAGTGTGCGTATACCAGGGCCGCAGTCCATGCAAGAGACGTTGCAAGCCTGAGCTGGGTGGGGGGGGGGGTTAGAAATAGAGGAGCCCGGATGGCTTGGATGGTTAAGCATCTGCCTTGGGCTCAGGTCGTGATCCCAGAATTCTGGGATGGATATGCTTCTCCCTCTCCCTCTGCCTGCTGCTCCCCGTTTGTGCTGTCTCTGTGTCAAATAAATAAATCTTAAAAAAATAAAATAAAAAGAACTAGTTATGAGCTCAGTACAAAGCAACATTTAAAAAAAAAGAGAGGCCGGATCTGGGACTTACTTAAGAAGTAAAGCAGCAGAACCTGATCGCATTGGGTGTAGGAAAGGAGGAAGAGAAATCTAGAATGACTTTCTGGTCTCTGGCATGAATGACTGAGTATTATAATCACTGGTGACATTAGTTCAGCTGGGGACACAGCTGGAGGAATTAGCTTGACACTGAGTTTGAGGAGTCTGTGAGATCTACAGATGTTGGGGATGCTTGGGCCTGAAGCTGAGGAGAGAACCCCAGTTTGGAAATTTGGGAATTATCAATTAAGCCGAGGGACGCCTGGGTGGCTCAGCGGTTGAGCATCTGCCTTAGGCTTAGGGCGTGATCCCAGGGTCCTGGGATGGAGTCCCCCATTAAGCTTCCCCTAGGGAGCCTGCTTCTCCCTCTGCCTATGTCCCTGCCTCTCTTTCTCTGCCTTTCATGAATAAATGGATAAAATCTTAAAAAAAAAAAAAAAAAAAAGAGCCCTGGGAACTTTGAGCTCAAGAGCAGGTGGAGCAAGAGGAGCCCACCAGGGAGGAGGAGTGATTGATGAGGTTGGCAGGGCCTCACTCGACAGAGACTGGATACGCAGGGGAGTCAAGCAGACATTGAGGCATGAGGGGAAGCAGCGAGGAAGATGTGCAGGAATCAAGTCAGCCGGGATAGAGAGGAGCTGACTTTTGCCGGAGTGTTAGTGGAATGGGTGGGAAGAAAAGGCCAGAAAGGTAGATTGGGACTGACTCATGTCAGGCTTGATGCCACCTATGGAGTCGGCCTTGGGGGTAGGTAAGAGGGATTCTGAAGGTTTCTGAATGTTCCCCATCAGGCAGCACACCAGAAGTGGAGATCTTCCCCATATGTATTAGTGAGCCCTAGGAGTGGCATGAAGCATTCTGGAAAGTACAGAACTTCTGGGTTCTGGTCCTGACTCTGGCAGCAACAGAGTTCTGCTTCCTATTGCCTCATTTTCTCTCTCTGTAAGATGGGAAGGGCCCCTCTGGCCCTATTCCAACTTTCCAGCTGAGCTGGGGGAAGAAATATAAAATCTGAGCAAAAGGCTCTGATGATTTTTGGCTTTGCTGCTGCTACCACCCACCATGAGCATGAGACGGTCGGGTTTCCTGGCAGCAGAGCTGCAGAGGAGGTGCAGGCTGTTTTCCCACCCACACCTGAAGCCCTTTCAACCAGACCTGCCTCAGGCTCAGAAGATACGGGATCTTGAACAGAGGAGGGAAGACATTCACTCTGGACTGGTCAGTGGAGCTTAAGAGCACAGATTACATTCTCCCCAAGACCTTAGATGCCATGTTGTAGGAGTTACATGGTCTCAGGACCCTAGAAATCTGAGGCTGTGAGACCCCGGATAGCCGCTGTGGGATTCTAGTCAGTATCAGCAGAGGACCTGGGTTCTACCCCATGGCTTGAAGCTGCTGCCTATTTATGGTCTCTAGGGTCAGCATGAAAAGGTTTCCAGTATCAAAATATTGTTACTTGGCTGACAGTGGTTTAGGAATTTGGAGTTGGTGAAGTGGTTCTCAGCACTGGTTGCACTAGACTCAAACTCTCCTAGTCAGGAAAGGGCTTGGTTATTTAAAAAAGAAAGAAAAAGGAGCCGAGTCACTGGCAGCTAGACAGCCTGAAAAACAGAGCAGACGTGAAGTCGTGGCTGGGGTAAAGCCAAGGAAACCCATTTAAGGGGCCTCTCTATAGTGGCGCAGTCAGTAAGTCACGATTGAGCACGATTCCATGTAGGTAAAAGTAGGGGAGGAGACACGTGGTTGGACCTTCCTGGATGGAATTCGGTCTAACCAGGGGGATACTGCGATTCAGGCCCTCCTGCTTGCTACACATGCTGTTCCCTCTGCAGGGGATGCCTTTCCCTCTTTTCTTTGTGCCCTCTGATCGCATACCAGATATTTGTATCACCTGCCTGAAGGTGATGATTTACTCTCAGACTCATCTGGGGGCAGTTAACAGTTAACAGCACCTTCTCAAGGACTTAGTTCCCGTCCCTCCCACTGGAGCCCTGTGGGGCAGGAGGAACCAGGCTCAGAATGAAGGGATTGACCTAAGGTTCCTCAACTGGCCAGAGGCAATGGAGATAGGACACTGGATATCCTGATTTTTAGTCCAGGGAAAGGGCAGTCCTCTGGGTGATGGCTCCTCCTGGACCCTCTGCGGAGCTGTGTGCACATCATGTGCTTACAATGCCTGCATTTTGCGTGCTGAGGCAGACAGGTTTTTCCTGCCTCTTTTGTGTTGACCACAGGGCAGTGAGGAAATCTTGTCTAGTGACAATCCTTTTTTCCTCCTTCCTTCCCTCTGCTGCCAGCAAACTGGAAGGAGGTTTTACTGAAATATGTCAGCCCTGATCAGCTGCCTGTGGAGTATGGGGGCACCATGACCGATCCCGATGGAAACCCCAAGTGCAAATCCAAGGTATGAGCTGCATAGTCCCCTGCATAGCCCATAGGGGCGAGGGCTCATCAGGGAAACCTGGCTCAAATGCACATTTCAGTTCACTCTGTGCTTTGCTTCTAGATCAACTATGGGGGTGACATTCCCAAGAAGTATTACGTGCGAGATCAGGTGAAACAGCAGTATGAGCACAGTGTGCAGATTTCTCGTGGCTCCTCACACCAAGTGGAGTATGAGATCCTCTTTCCTGGCTGTGTCCTCAGGTAGTGTTCTGGACCCTGATAGGCCACCTGTGCCTTTCAGCCATAGGTGCCAGTGGTTGGGCTGGGGTGGGAGGAGCCACCCTGGGGGCAGGACCCCCCCCCCCCAGCACGCACACAGATGCAATCATGCCTGAATGAGAGGATGTCCCCTGCAGGTGGCAGTTCATGTCAGACGGTTCGGACATTGGGTTCGGGATTTTCCTGAAGACCAAGGTGGGGGAGCGGCAGCGGGCAGGGGAGATGACAGAGGTGCTTTCCAACCAGAGGTACAATGCCCACCTGGTTCCTGAGGATGGGACCCTCACCTGCAGTGATCCTGGCATCTGTAAGTACCTCTCTCATGGCTTAAAGCCCCTGCCCTGGCTGTCTGCCTGTGAGGTCCCTCTTCTTCCAAGGATTTAGGGTCTCAGACGTGAGAACTAGACATAGGGCTCCATCATTTTGACCCTCTCCTTACACAGATGAGGGGACCTAGGCTTGGGGAGGGGAAATGAGCAGGGGACCCACCTAGTTAGCAGCAGGGTGGGACTCTGACTTGATATTTCCAGGTTGAGGTGAGTCATGGTGCTAGGTGACCACAAGGTTTCAGAACACTTGCTCTCTGGTCCAAATTTAACTGGATCTGTAACTGTGACCAGATATTTCTGGGGAATGCTCCTTCCCCAGACATCAGAGAGGCAGATCTGCCTCGGTGGGTGCAGGGATCCCAGGGTGAGCAGAATGCTGAAAAGCCCAGTCCTGACCCTATGAGTCTCACTTATCTTCAACTTGATCAAAAAACAGGTACAGAACATGAACAGGAAGTTTAGCCAGGAGGAATTGAGTGTTTTTACCTAAAGATTAAATTCCAAAAAAAAAAAAAGAAAAGAAAGAAAGAAAGTGTTTTACCTCCTTCAACTTTGTGGTATCAATTAAAATTTCCTTTCAGCGATTCTACTTCTGGAAATTTATCCTACAGAAATGTTTACACAAAGACACAAAGATATAGAGACAAGGATGTTCCTGGCAGCCTTAACTGGCAATAAACCAAATGGTCTTAAAAAGATCTTGTTAAATGAATTATGGCCCATGCATACAATGGAATACATTATACCCATTTGAGAGAATAAATTGACATGTAAGATGTCTGATACATGTTAAAAAAACAAAGAATGAAACAGCATATGGTATATACACAATTTGTTTTTTTTTTTTTAAGTGTATACATTGAAAAGAATTCTGGGGAATCTGTGCTAACTCTAATGGTGGTTATCTCTGGGATGGTAGGAAGCTTCTAGAGGGTTTTACCTTCTTACACTAGTTCTGCAACTATATTATTTTACAATGATCATGTACTACATTTATAAGCAGAAAAACCACATACACACACAAAAAGCGCTTCAAATGTCCAGTTTTCTTTACATCAGAGCCAATGGGCCAGGTGTGGAAAATCGATGAGAGCAAGGGCTTTATCATCAAGCTGACTTGGATTTGAGACTGACTGGTCCTTAGGCGTGTGACTTAGCCTCTCTGAGCTTGAGTTTCATGATTGCTATAATAGGGATCAAATTCTCTACCTCATGGGGATACATGATGATTAAATGGACAGCACTTAGCATAATGCCTGGTGTATAGCAAGCACTCAACACACTGTAGTCACCATTATAATAATTAGAGCAAGACCTGTGTGGGGGAAAAAGACCATCCTAGAGATGGTGCTGGAGATGGGAGAAGCCCTATGCCCCATTTCTAGGGCAGCATCACCAGGAGATATCCGAGCTAGCCCCCGGATGTCTCACACCATCATCCCAACTTCAGATGCTATGTACTTCCCCACATGCCAGGCAACCTTTGGTCTCCACCACTCCTTTATTATAGATGCTCTGTGGTATGGCTCCCCAGGGAGGAGTATGCTTGTTAGTGAGCAAACAGCCAGGTCCTTGGAGAAGAAGGCATATTACTGTATGCTTCAGCAAGAACAAGGCCTAGCACACCAGCCCAGATACTATTATCCACAGAGCATATTTGATATATAACCTTGAATTTTTAAAAAGATTTTTATTAGAGAGAGAGAGAGAGAGAGAGAGAATTGTAGGGGGAGAGGGAGAGGGACAAGCAGACTCCCCACAGAGCAGGGAGCCCGACTTGGGGCTCAGTCCCAGGACCCCAGGATCATAACCTGAGCTAAAGGCAGACGCCTAGGTGACTGAGCCACCCAGGTGCCCTAAGCTTGATTTTTTTTTTTTTTTAAGTGGACAGGAAAGCTGAGGTATAGAGAAGGGATGTTATCTCTCCCACAAAGTAGCTTGCATACACACCAAAAGAAGACATGAGGGAATCCTCGAGTTCTGGTCCAGATCTCTAGGCCATAGCCTATCCTAGAGATGATCAGGTCTACCCCTGATGTGACAGGGGGTAGAGTGGAGTCCCAGACCAGGTGAGTAATTTACCCAAGATCATATAGCCAGTAGCAGCGCCCAACCCATTTCCCAGCATGGCCTATTACTGTCTATATTATCTGAAGGATAACAGCCTAAGAAAGGACCCAGGAACAATACAACATAATCTGGCTTAGGTTTGCAAACCCAAATTTATTTTAGCTCTTCTTGGATACATTCCCAGATTGAACATTTATCTGCCTGTGGGGCCTTGACTGGGAACTGCTTCTTGTCCATTCCAAGAAGGATTAAAGGCAGGTCACAGCACCCATGTCCCCTCCCCAGGTGTAAAGACAATGAGGTGGGATCAGCTGTTGTCTGGAGCCATGGCTCAGGTTAGACCTGAGCCCATAAAGAACCCAGTATCAGGTTACAAGCTCACCTGTGGGAGGGCAGCGCCTTTGAAGAACCAGGCGATTCCCTGAGAGTGGAACATAATCACTCCGTGGAGAAATTAAAACTCTGTGCCAGCCTCCAAAGGCAAGAGCACATGGATCCACCTCAGGCCATTCTGGTCCTTGCCCAACTGTACTTAACTAGTAAGGTGGAGAAGAAAAGTCTGAATTGATTTTACTTATTTTTTTCTCAACTAATATTTCCTGAGAGCCTGAGTGTAGAATAATACTAGGAAAGAAGAGGATTCAGAGAAAAGATCTGGACTTTGTCCACCAGGAGGGCAAAACAGTCTAAAAGACCTAAAACACTGGACGAAGGTTCAACAGTACTGCCAGGCAGTGCTGGGGAGAAAAGAGCCCAGCTAGGCTCCAAGAGGCCTGGTTTCTGAGTCCAGCTGTGCAACCAACTCTCCAAGTGTTTTGAGCAAGTGTCTCTAAATAATTAGCTTTTGCTTTCCTTCTCCTTAAAATAAGGAGAGTGGGCTACAGCAGGTGGTCTTTTTGTGTGTGTTTATTTATTTTTAAGATTTCTATTTATTTATTCATGAGGACAGAGAGAGGCAGAGACGTGGGCAGAGGGAGAAGCAGGCTCCCTGTGGGGAGCCTGATCCAGAACTCGTTCCCAGGACCCCGGGGTCCCGGGATCATGCCCTGAGCCAAAGGCAGACATTCTACCATTGAGCTACCCAGGAGCCCCTATTTTGTATTTAAGTAGGCTCCATGCCCAATATGGAGCTTGAGCTCACAACCCTGAAATTAAGAGTCACATGTTCTACTAACTGGCCAGCAAGGCCCTTCTAGAGCAGGAGTCTTTTTTTTTTTTTTTTAAGATTTTATTTATTTATTCATGAGAGAGAAAGAGGCAGGGACACAGGCAGAGGGAGAAGCAGGCTCCATGCAAGAAGCCCAACGTGGGACTCGATCCCGGGACTCCAGGATCATGTCCTGGGCCAAAGGCAGGTGCCAAATGGCTGAGCCACCCAGGGACCCCCCCCCCCCCAGAGCAGCAGGTCTTAATCTGGGGTTTGTAGACTTCCCAGAGCAGTGACTGTAAAGCTTAAAGACCAAACACCTCTCTTTTATAACATACAGAGTCTAATTTACTATTCTGAAATGAAATTAATGGATAATACAACCCACCTAAATACGTAATTTAAAAAGCGATAGAATCTCTCGTCAGGAGAAATAAAGGGAAGCTAATTTAGAATACATATTTTTTTCCATATATAAATGAGAGGACACGATTACACCCATGTACCACCATTCTTCAGAATGGTGCCTTTCCCATTGGGAAACTCTGCCCCCAAGGGTCCATGATGGGCTCCAGGTGATCTGAAATGGTGTGCTTTCATCAGAGTCTCAAGGGGGTCGGTTCCCCAATAAAGGTTGAGAAGTCCTAACCTGGAGGCCCCAGGGGGGCTCTACAGGTCTGTCAGTACATGATTAGTGTCAAAATGAACCATGCAATTCATGAACTCCACTTCCCTGGGGCCTGGGCCTCCAATAGCCCCTTCCTCATTTCTGAGGGCAGACTATACAAGGCTGAGCCATCTCGATCCAAGGAGCTCAGAACTCTCCCCCAGCATGACTAATCCTGGTTGCTGGGACTCTGTCATCCAGGATAGTGAGGAAGTGTCCCTCTTTCCAGAGGGACTATTGGTTCTTTTTTTTTTTTTTTTTTTTTTTTTAAGATTTTATTCATGAGAGACACAGAAAGAGGCAGAGACATAGGGAGAGGAGAAGTAGGCTCCTTGCAGAAAGCCTGATGTGGGACTCGATCCCAGGACACTGGGATCATGCCCTGAGCCAAAGGCAGACGCTCAACCACTCTGGAACTATTGGTTCTGAGAGACCTCTGGTGCAGAGAGGAAATCAATGAGTAATACTCACTTCACACCATGAAGAAAGTGTGGGTGGTGTGTCTGCCCAACATCTAAACTATGCATTTTATCTAGGAGCAGGAGAGGGGAGAGGTTAAACCTCAGGTTTAAATACATTTTTTTTTGGCTTATTTAATTTTTTTTTTTTTTTCTGGAAAAAGAGAAGACCAGGACAGGGAAAGGGCAGAGCCAGTGTTTTTGTTCTCACACTCTGTTCTCTTGAACGGCTGTTTGACTAAAAGGGAACAACTTCTTAAAAAGAAAAGGGGTAGATTAAAGGCTTTCTGTTCCTTGGCCAAGGCTTCAAAGCCTTCTCTGCCAAGTTCATGCCCATTTTGAGTTTTCCTAATCTTTCAGAATTACAAACAAGGATGCGGTGCGCATCTTTGGCCATTTATCTTTTGGTGGGATAAAGTCCTGGTTCCAAAACTCTGTATATTTTACCTTCTCCGGGCTTGTCTCTCCAGGGCTCAAGTTAGGCAACAGTGCTGCCACGGGGAAATTGCAGCACCATCACTTCCTCACCATGTAACACTGTGACCTCCTTTTTATTATATGCTCTAAAGCAGAACTAATGCTGAACTTGGGAGTTATTTTGAACAATAATATAATAGTATATATAGATTACCAATCCAGGGCTGAGACACCCAAGGAGCTATCGTTACCATTGCTGTTGTTATTATTATGACAACTACTGCAGCTACTGATTTTGCTTTGTCAGTTCGAGTTCTAACTCCTCTGAAAAGCCTTTTACATGATTTTATAGATTTCAGTCTATAGGGCCCTCCCCTTCCAACCACTGACAGATGTGGTTGCCTCTCTCACTCATCCTGGCACTCAGCATAGTCTTTCTTATATTTTTCCCCCTCTCTGTAAAGATCTGAAGTTTCAGAAGGTAAGGGACAATTGCTTATGCCACCTTGGTCCTCATTATGTACCACACACTGCCTTGTTCAGTCAACAAAAATCGCTGTCCTTTGTCAGAATTGCCTGACTGTCTGGTTTTCTGCCTCCCTTCAGATGTCCTGCGGTTTGACAACACCTACAGCTTCATTCATGCCAAGAAGGTCAGTTTCACTGTGGAGGTCCTGCTTCCAGACAAAGCCTCAGAAGAGAAGATGAAACAACTGGGGGCAGTCACCCCAAAGTAATGCCTCTCCTCACAGCAGACCTGGCTCCCTCAGTGTCTCCCTGTCAGTTTCTGTCCCTGTAGCCATCATTTTCCCAGTACCCAGATGCCCAGAAAAAGCTGGGCTACAAGAAAGACCTTGGGCTGAATTTGGGGAACTTTCATTTCAGAATTAGGAAGCGAGAGAGCAGCAGGAGAGGGTCTCCGTGCCTCTCAAATTACTAAGAGTCCCCTGGGGCTGGGCACCATGATAGGATCTACCATCCTATAAGCCGTGCCAACTTCACCTGTCCAGTGACAGCTGAGACAGGAAGGGAGGGGAAGATGGGGGTGGCAGCACGGAAGAAACTAGAAAAAGGGAGAGAGAGAGATTGAGACCTAACACTTCAGGGAAGCCGGCTGTAGGGGAGGAACTTGCTCCCAAATGAAAATGTTAAGTCTAGATCCTAATGAGGAGTAGCAAGGTAGCAGATTGCTAGAGTCATGGTGGTGGGGGTCAAGGGCTCTTGTAAACTTCCTATCTCTGAGGCTAGGACCTCTTGGCGTTTCCCACCAGGTCTCAGGAGATGGCCTGACTCAGCATAGATCTTCCCACTCAGGGGTAGACAGGGAAGCCACCTTGAGACCTCTGCAACTCTTGGGACCCACTGGCTATCTCTTTAATTACTGTCAGTGACTCAGCTTCTCAGGACAGACATTTGGTACCCAGCCACTGTCCTTCAACGCAAACAAAGCACAGGGAAACCACCTCCAGGGATCCCAGCTCCGGGGAGGGCCAGGGGGGCTGAGGGTGGGAGTGAATGCCGAGGCTTCCACCCCCGCCCCGTCTCAGGGCCGCCAGCCTCTCATCAAGTAACTCTGCATTTGAGCATCCCACACAAAAATGACAAGTGACATCAAGACAGCAGATCTCGGTGAAGGCCTTCCCCAGTCTGGGTCTCCCACGGTGCCGGCCAGCCCGCTTCCTGACTGACCTCAGCAAGGCTTTGGCGGTCCCATCTCTGGGGGAGGCGTCCGGCGGGTGCTTTGGGTTCCTGGGGTCTGGCGGGGAGGCTGCCGGGGCAGGGGGCCAAAGGCCGGCCTGGCATCTGGGGGCAGCCACAGAGCGCCCGGAAGGCCCCCGGCCCCTCCGGCCAGCGACAAGCAGGGCTGGCCCGGGAGGCGCTCAGCGACCGGGGACCGGAGGGCACGGACCCTGCGGGGAGCCACCGCACGCACCGCCACGCCACGCCCCGCAAACGGACACGGGAAGGCGGCGCCGCCCGGGCCGCGGGAGAGCCAGGCGCGGGCCCCGCGTGCGGAGACGCTCGGGCGAAGCTGAGGGAGGAGCAAGGGGCGGGGCTGGCGCCGAGCGGAGCCGCCTGAGGGTGCGCGGGCGCCGGCCCGGCCGCTTACGAGGGGTCGTCCCGACCTTGGTTTACTACGCTCTGTTAGGAAAATTAACCAATGAATAAAGAAGCAACGTTCAGCGCACGGGGAATGGAAGTCAATGCCCACCACCTAGCTCCTCACTGCCCCTCAGAGTGACAGAACTTGTGCCTCAGTAGCCTCACCCAGCCGCCAATAAGTGGGGTCCACGCGCAGAAGCCACCCGCTATTCCCCTATGGCGCGCGCTTTCCCAGGGGACCCAACGACCAGCTTGCTTCCCGATTGGCCCAGCCGAAGGACCGCCTTCCGCCATCTTTGTTAAGGGCACCAAGGGGGCTGCTAACAACCTTCAAGGTTTGGGCGGAGGCCCCGCCCCACTCGGTTTCACCGTGCGCCCTGGAAGTTTCCTGCGCAGGGACGAGTGCGGGTCTGGGGAGTGCGCGGAGCCCGCGGGGGGCACAGAGGGGGAGGGGAGCGGCCGAGCGACGCTTACGTGGTGCTAGGGACCGTCTCCTAATTCCCCGCCAGCGCTACCGGTGTTTCCGGGATTAGAGATCGCCATTTGGCCGAGTCCCAGCTTCCTGCAAGGTCACCACGGCTGATCCGGCTGCCCTACACAACCATAAAATGACAAGAGACGCCGAGGACTAAAAAGGAGGTCCTTTTTTTTTTTTTTAAGATTTTATTTATTCATGAGAGACATAGATTGAGAGGCAGAGACACAGGCAGAGGGAGAAGCAGGCTCCCTGCGGGGGGGGGGGGCGGGGAGCCTGATGTCGGACTCCATCCCAGGACCCGGGGATTACGACCTGAGCCAAAGGCAGATGCTCAACCACGGAGCCACCCAGGTGTCCCAAAATGAGATCCTTAATACTGAATCAGTGGTCTTTATGTTTCCAATCTTTATTTGAAAATCATAAAAAGCTATTTCTTTAAAATGAGTGCCCTCTGGGTACCAGGCAACAGCCCTGTGGTTATGGCCCTGGATTGTTGCAAAGATTCAAGGAAATAATACGCGCACAGCGCTTAGAAGAGAGGCTTAACAAGTGAGCGCTCAGGAAATACGGGCCTCTAGTGGGTTTTACAGACATAGCTAATAGGTGGCTCAACTGGGATTTGAACCCAGGACTACCTGTCTTTAATGGCTGCCTCTTTGCTAGCTGATACCTCCAAAATCCAAAGGATTCACAGCTTTAGTGAAGCGCACTCATTGTACACATGAGAAAACTGAGGTCAGGCTAAGTAATCGCTACTACCCAAGACCACTCATTCGGTTCTGCTCACTTCCCTGATGTCTTGTTTCCTTAGCCTCATTCATTCATTCATTCATTCATACTAGGTCCTTCCCACAAGAATCATGGTCTGGGGGTTACATCAATCCAGTTAGACCTCAGAACTTGATATATGAACATGGCACCTGGCAGAAAGGCACTGGAGTCCAAATATCCAACCTCCCCCCAGGCTCCTTAACTCAGCTCAATTTAAGAGCGCAGGATCTGGAGCCACTGCCTGGATTCAGATGCCAGCTTCACCACTTAGCTGTATGACTTGAGAAAGTGACCCATTTGTGTGTGTGTGTGTGTGTGTGTGTGTGTGTGTGCGTGTGTGTGTGCGCGCGCGCGCGCGCCCCTATTTCATTGTCTGTAAAATGGGGGTCCCAGGTTGGTGGGATGCTTTAAGAAAGAAATCTGTCTAGAGTCTTCACTGAACGGTCTGGCCAGTGGTAAACTTAATAAATGATTTCTTAATAATTAATCCTTGCAACTGTCCCAGGAGTGAACACCGTGTTCCCCATTGAATAAATTAATAAAATGAGGCTCAGAGTACACAGTCTCTTGCCTGAGGTCACACAGCTATAAAGTGTAACCAGGAAGTGTAGCATGCCACATTTGGACCCCAGTCTCCTGGGCTCCAAATCTACAGTCTGTCGCGGGTAAGGATTGCGACAGCCACTCAACCCCGGAGAAAACGTGAATATTAATCTGTGAAACCCAAGCCCGGGAGAGGGGCTTCGGTGCGCGGGGTAATTTGCAGACGCTCCCTGCTGGCGGGGAGAGCTCGACCTGTGTCCTTCAGTCCGGGACCTTCGGCTGGTCCCGCCGCGGCAGCCTGGAGCCGTAGTGGAAGCTGAGGTGGGACCGGCAGCAGGACCGGCTGCAGGGGCTCCGGCCGAGCCAGAAGCGCCATGGCCGAGCCGCCCCCGCGGGGTGCCGAGCGCGACCTTTTCCGGGACACTTGGGTGCGGTATCTAGGTGAGTAGGGGGCGGGGGCATGGTGACCCCCCCCTCCCCCCCCGGGGCTGGAGAGGCAGAGGTCGCCAGACGCCAGCCAGAGGCCTGGAGAAGGTGGAAGGACCACAGTCCTCATTCTGCCTGGGCCAGAGAGCGGGCTCAGAGAGGGCCAGCGACTTGCCCGAGGCCCCACAGCTCGGCCCTGCGCGGGTCAGCCTCCCAGGGGTAAGCTCCAGGGCTGGGAGGAAGGCGCTGAGGGGACGTCGGGACCCTGGCCGTGGAGTGGGCATCTGGCCCTCGTGCGGCTCTGCTTGGTGTTCGGTTTTCTTCTTGGCAGATAGAGATGAGCACAGTGTTCGTGGAGTGGTAGTTGTACGGGTAGAGGGAGGTGAGGCACTGGAAGGACCTGGCACGTGCTGAGGGCCTCATCAGCGGACCTGCTCCCCATTAGCGCCCGCGCTTCTAGAACCCAGGCCGGGAGGGCGAGGGAATAATTGTGACTGTACCCAGCTCTCCCGCAATGGCCCCGGAGTCGAGGAGGACTTCATAGGTGCCTTTTTATAGAGCCGGAAACTGAAACTCAGAGAAATAAAATCACTTATCTAAGGTCACCCAGCTACTGCTTAGCGGGCTGGGATTAGGACTAGTGCCCCCTTGTGGAGCAAAACATCTCCCTTCCCCATAGCCGGAATTATTATTTTTTTATTTTTATTTATTTTTTAGAGAGACAGAAAGAGAGAGAGAGAGAGAATGTTATACAGGCTCCAGGCTCGGCACAGACCCCATCGTGGGGCTCCATCTCACAACCCTGAGATCGTGACCTAAGCCGAAATCAAGTCAGATGCTTAACAGATGGAGCCACCCAGGCACCCCACTCCCTACACCAGAATTAAATGTCTTCTCCCCAACAGGCTATGCCAATGAGGTGGGAGAGGCATTCCGTTCCCTGGTGCCAGCAGCTGTGGTGTGGCTGAGCTATGGTGTGTCCAGCTCCTACGTGCTGGCCGATGCCATTGACAAGGGCAAGAAGGCAGGAGACGTGAGTGTTAGCCTGCCCCTCAACCCCCCACCCTAGTCCACTCCCTTTGTGATTTACCAGAGCCTTGCATGTGGCAAAGTCCCTGGTGGACGAATCCAATCCCTACAACCTTGCCTGTTGCAGTCCATACCCCAGTCCTGTTTGTAGGTAGTGCACCCTACCCCTAGCCCTGCATGTGACACAGTCTGTACCCCAGTTCTGGATGTGAATGAGTCCACCCTCAGGCCTGAATTGGCACAGTCCAGAACCTGACAGTAGTGTGGTTCTGTCCCCATCCCCACTGGCCCCTTCCCTGCCCTGGTCCAGCCTCATTCCCTTGTCCACAGGATTTCCCACCTCTTCCCCTGCTGGATTAATTGTCTCTTGTTCCTACCAGGTACCAAGCCCGGAGGCAGGTCGCAGCACCAGGGTGACCGTGGCTGTGGTGGACACTTTTGTGTGGCAGGCTCTGGCTTCTGTGGCTATCCCAGGCTTCACTATCAACCGTGTGTGTGCTGCTTCTCTCTACATCCTGGGCACTGCCACCCGTTGGCCTTTGTCTGTCCGTAAGTGGACCACCACTGCACTGGGGCTTCTGGTCATCCCTGTCATCATCCATCCCATTGACAGGTGGGTGCCCCTCCCAGCCTCAGAGATCATCCACTCTACAGGTGGAGATAAGCTCCAAGAGAAGTGGGGTGTTCCCACTTTGCAGAAAACAATAGCAGCAGAGGCAGGGCTGGCAGTCATGGCTCCTGAGGTAGAAAGGACTCTGTCCTGGCAGGTATTTGACAGGAAAGGTTTGGGAGGTGCCTTGAGGGTATAGGACACAGGACCAATAGATTCTAGGAAGAAAGCCCAGTGTTACAGAACAGCCAGAGGCATGCAGGAACAGGTGCAAATTGGAGGGGATGGGTTTGGGGAGGTTTTGGTAACAGAAACCCGACTAAAGCTGGGTTAAGTAAAATAAGAATTAATTGTTTCATGAAACTGAAAAGTCCAGAGTTATGTTGCTTTCAGGCATGGCTGGATCTAGACACCCAAATGATGTCTTTAGGGGTCTTGATCTCCCCATCCTACTGCTCTTCTTTCCACACCACCCTATGTTGGCTTCACTCATTTTCCCCACATGGGAGCAGAAATAGCCTCCAGCAGCTCCTAGCTTCCATCTCATCAGTTTAGCAAGCCCCAGAGGAAGCTTTTCATAACTGACCAAGAAAATCCCAAGGAAGGCTGTCATGGGTCTATTCTGGACTCAGTGCCCTCCCCTGAGCCAATTTCTCTTTTCTGATTGGCCATACTTGGGTCATGTGCCTGCTCTTAGAACCAGAGATGGGGCCAACTCAACCAGATCAACATAGAGTGAGAAGAGCAGTCTTTTCCCAAGGGAACATAGCTTAAATAAAGGCCCTAAGTGAGCTTTTTACCCTCTTTATGACTCAGTTTCCCCAGCTGAACAAAGAAAAGGATGATGTCTGCTACCTGGATGGCACTTGTGTCCTGCATCTAGGAGTCCCTTTCCTAGCCCTGACCTCCTACCTCCCATTCCCCCCTCTAGTTCCCAGTGGTTACTTGCTCATCACTGTCCACCACCCCACAGGTCAGTGGACTTCCTCCTGGACTCCAGCCTACGCAAGCTCTATCCCTCAGTGGAGAAACCCAGCTCTTCCTGACCCCACCCTGATACCTGGCCCATTCACTGCTCTAGTCCAACTTCCTCCTCCTGCCAGGGAGTACGGATGGATGCCTGGCTCCCTGAGTCTGAGGCCTGGGTATGTTTGAGCCAGATGGAAACTAAGAGAACAAAGACCTCAAGGAGCAGCAGCTGCCATGACTCACAGGAATGGGAGACCTAAACCCCATCTGCTTCCTTGGAATCTGTGATACTGAGAGGGAGTGGACCTGTCTTTTGACAGGAAAGTAACATCCTCCCATGGAGGATAAGCAGACAGGCCCAGACAGGGGGAGCCCAGATCACTTAGCAGTCTGGGAACCCAGGAGGCCCAGTGGCTTGGCCCTGCAAAAGTGTGGCTGAACCGAGGAACAGCAGGTACCCGAAGAAATGCAGGGGTGCCATAGCGGGTACCCTGAGGACTGATTCTCCAGCTAGCTGATCTGCTCAGGCCTGGTTGGAAGGCAGGACAGCCCCCAGCCAATAAATTCTCAAGAAGTTGCGTTCTCTTCTTTTCTCTTGGGGATGAGCAGGCCCGGGGGCCCTCAAAGGTGGAGGCTGACTTCTGCCATGTGTCACTTACAGTACCTCCCCACCCACCAACGCTCCCCTGCAGATGCCTGGGATCTTTGGGCATTGACCTCTCAGCAAGCCTCCTAAAGCACCAACACCTCTGGAGGGGATGCCACCTGTGTCTGAAGGTGCCTGAGGTGAAGACAGCCCCCTGTACGAGTGTCACAGAGACTATCACCGGAGACTCAGGAGCCTTGGGGGAAAGGGAGTGACCCAGGGGCTGTCCCTGGGAGCATTGAAGGGGCATTCCTCCTTGATTCTGGGCCAGCCCCTTTTTTAGCTGCTAACATCTGAGGGGTGGAAAAGCAGGGAGTGGGGTTCAGGATATGGAACACAGGGCAGAAGCAGGCCTAGGTCCCTGTCACTTGGCCCGGTGCCAAGCCACAAATCAGTTCTGGCCATGTCTCGCAGCCTGGGTATAGACATGGGGCCTAACCCTTCCCCAGAGAGAACCCCTGCCCCTGGATGGGGACTCACAGGGGTCAAGAGACGGGGCAGGACTGCTGGTGAGACAGGATGGGGGCTCAGGTTGTGGCTTATGCTCTGAGGGGTGTCTAGCAGCAAGGTGAGTGTGATGGCTGGGAGTCTGTGATGGGGCCTTTCTCTGCTGCCCTTCTCATCCCACACCAGCTGGGTTCCTTTCCCTGGCCCCCCCTTGACCTCTGCCCAATCTCTGGCTGCTCTCTCCAGCTCCCTTAAATGCTCTGAGCCCCCTCAATTCACCAGTCCTCTGCCCCCTTCTGGCCCCATCTCCAATCCTGCACCTCTCCATCTCCCCATCGAGGGGTATACCCGCACCTGCATCCCTATGACATTTGGGTTCTGCCATCAGTTCCCTGATCACTGAGTATCTTCCACCTTCTGGGCTCCCCCTAAAACTAGGAGCTGCTGGCCAGAGTCAGGCTTCTGTGTTTTGGAGCACAGCTCTCAACATTGCCACAGCCTTGTGTCCTTCCCTATCACTTGCCTCCTAGCCTCTCCCATCCCACCTGCCACTGTTCCTCAGCTGGAAATACTTTAGCTCTTGAACAATCTTGAGGATTTTTCATAACCAGCCCTGATGCCCCTCCCATGTTGCCCCTCAGCTCTGTCTTGCCCCATCTCCATCCCCAACCTCCCTCTCAGTGGGGACTTTTGGAGATGAGCTTTCCTGAGAGTGTGTGCACCTGTTGTGAGGTTACTTGTCTGGGCTCCTGGTCACCCCATTGAAGAGCCCTGGCAGGTTGGTGGCTCTTGGTTTTGGAGGTGGGGATCAGGGATAGGCTCTGAGGCAGGGAGGCAGTTGGCTCAAGGAGGCACTCATGGTATTGGGGAGATGGGCCTGTGGGAGATACTATCATGCTCCTGAAGACCTTTGAGGAAGCTGTCACTGGCCTCTTGAACTACAAGACCCACCTGAGGTATCTTGATCAGCAAAACCAAGGATGGATCTGGCCTCTGGAGAGCTCACTACTTGATCTTGGGCAAATCCTTTCCCTCTGTGGGCCTCAGTTTCCCCAAATATAAAAAGAACATTATCTTGGTCTGCCACATTTGAGCTCTGAGTCTAATCTTTATTAAACATATAGCTGAAGACCCATTCAACTCCAGCCATACAACCCTGGTAAGGGCCTTTCTTGTGCCTGCCACATGTGACCTGGGACAGGAGCTGTGGGGTGGCGAGCAAACTGAGGCCTGCCTGTGTGCACTGAAATCAGGGTGCTCCTCCCTTTGCTCCTCTAATGTTTGCTCAGGGGCCCAGCAACCCCTTAGGCAGAAGTTGGGCTTCTTCTGGATGCCTGAAACCCGGCACATCCTCTTGCTATGGGTCAGTGAATGGTGCACTTGAGGAATTCATATGGGCCAAAAACAAGATCACTACCTTCTTAGGAATCATTTTAAACATAGCCATTATTTGAAAAAATAATGGCAGCAGGAGAGGCATCTGGGTGGCTCAGCCAGTTAAGCCTCTGACTTCAGCTCAGGTCATGATCTTAGGGTCCTGGGATTGAGCCCTGCTTTGGGCTGTGAATTCAGCAGAGAGTCTGCTTCTCCCACTCCCTCTGTCCCTCCCCTCTGTTTGCTCTCTCTCTCAAATAAATAAAATCTTAAAAAAATTAGTAACGGGGAGAGGCTGGCACAAGGTGGCTGCAGCATGTCGGAGCTTGAAGGGCCTGGTTGCTGTAATTACTGAAAGAGCCTCTCGGCTAGGTCTGGCCACAATGGAGCAACTGGTGGAGCAAGGGGCTACTGCTTTGTTTCTGGACCTGTCCAACTCTGATGGGGAGGCCCACCCCAAGAAGTTAGGGAACAGTAAATAAATATACATAAATAAAGCGGTATAGATTCAGATTTAAATGTGTTATATTAAAAACAAAGGTAGTAAAATGTTCTCATCACAAGAAGAAAAATTTGTAGCTATGGGGCGATGGGTGTTCACTAGACTTACTGTGGTAGTCATTTTGCAATATTTGTATATCAAATAGCAAGTCGTGTCATATACCTACAAATAATATGTCAATGATATCTTAGAGGACAAGCAAAAAAACCCCAAAAACCCCTCCCCACCAAAACCCAAACCAGCAAAAAACAGTAACACTCAAAGCACATTGCTTCTTTTTTTCTTTTAAGATTTTATATATTTATTCATGAGAGACACAGAGGCAGAGGGAGAAGTAGGCTCCATGTAGGGAGCCCAATGTGGGACTTGATCCCGAGTCTCCAGGATCACACCCCAGGCTGAAGGCAGCACTAAACCACTAAGCCACCAGGGCTGCCCAGCACACTGCTTCTTGATTTTACTAGGCTTTACTATTATCTGTGTTCCTGAGGTTATTTACATTTCTTGTATCTGTCTGGTGGTTCTACTCACTTGTGTTGGCTGCGGTTTCTCAACTCTGTCCAATGACTTCTCTTGGGTAGCTTGAAATAGGTCATGATAGGACCGTCTACACCATGGAGATCAACAAAGCATGGATTCCCCCTTGCCTAGGGAGCCAGAGGTTAAATGTTTACCAGCACACTACTACTCTGGCCCTCCTGCCAACCCAGGAAGTGGGTCATGGCACCTTCCCCACCCTGTGCAGACCCACGGCTAGGATCAGAGAGGGTAAGTGGCTTGACAGAAGCCTCACAACCTGTAGGATTATGGACAAGATCCATTCCTACTCTGCTCCTTCTCCCCAAACAGCCAGGCAGGGGGAGGAAGGTGGCCTCGGCTGTAGCCCCTGCTTGTCTGGAGCCTTTGCTCCAGCTTTCCTTCTCCAGCTCCTACTCCGACATCTGACACTTGGGCTCAGGCCCTTCTCGCTCTTCCCTGGGGTTTCCCATTCACTTATGTAGCTTCTGGCCCCAATCCTCTGCCACCACATGTCCTATCTGTCCCCTCCAGGCTTGGATGAGGGCAGCAGCCTCTGGCTTGTCTCTCCCTGCCCTGCCCCCAGCTTTTCTATCTAGCCAGCCACTTCTTAAAATGTTCAGAACAGAGTCCAGATTCCTTCTGGGGGCTCTTAGAGCCTTGCATGGTCTGGATGACCCCATCCTTTGTGCCCTACCCTAAATCTTCATTTGAGCCATTCTTTTTTGATTTTTTGGATCTGGCATTTGCCCTGACTGGGCTTTCTCATACACTATTCTCTCCAACTGGGACACTCCCTTCCCCTACCTCTTCCTGCAGGTCCACTCACCCTCTCCTGACTATAGCCTACTCGATTCTTTCCCCTTCTAGAGACCCTCTGATCCCCTAGGATTGGTTTGGGAGCCTCCTCAGTGCTTCCTCCAAACCAGTATTTCCCCCATTGCCTGAGGGTGGGGCCAGACCCCTGTTGGGATTGGGGGCAGGAAAACTTGTCTTTTCCCACCTGCTCAGGGCTTTGTCCAAGAGCATTCAGGGAAGTTTGGGTCCCCCAAGGGTCACCTTCATGCAATGCTCAGTGTCACCACAAAGAGGCAGCACCACCCAACTTGCCCTTGTTGGCTGGTTCAAACTTCCTCCAGGGTTATTGAGAACAGTATCAGTGAACAACTAACTCCTAGTGTGCGCCCAGTCCTGTGCTGAACACTTCCTGTGATGTGGCTCATTTACTCTTTACAATCACATCATAGTTGGATTCCTGTTTCCTGGAGTTGGAGTCACTGGCCCAAGCTCACACAGTCCGGCCCCCACCCCCACTCCCCCACTCCCATAATTCAACATTCCTCCCATCTCTTCCAGCTTCCCTCTCTCCCTCTCCCCCAGCCCAGTTCTGATTCTGTACCTCCTGCCTTCCAGCCCGTTGTGGAGTGGCTGACTCACAGGCTATGTGACCATGGGCAAGTTACCTAACCTCTCTGCGCCTTGGTTTCCTCACCATACAATTCTCTGTAATGACCTCCTGAAGCTGCTGCCAGGATTACAGGAGAAATGGCTCACAGAGCATTAAGCCAGAGCAGGGGCTCACAGAGAGAGCTCCACAAATATTGGCTATTATTAATGTGTCAAGAGGCCTCAACTTCAAGGACAAATGATTGAATTGTTCCACCTGATGACCAACTCAGACATAAATTATGCCAATTACACACTTCAATGATTCCACTCCTAAGACTTTATTCAGAGGAAATAATTGCATGATTGTCTCAAGATGTGCAGCTGAGGGTCATCGTCATGGTCTTATTTGTACAAGCTAATATCTTGGGAACTCCTTAAATGCCCAGTGCATAAAGGAACATTCTTCTGATCATGCTGTTGGCTGAGTCTCCCCAGGGACCTTCTGTTCTGATACCTTCTATCACTCCAGACATCCTCCAGGATCCATTCTGAACACCTCAGCCTGGCATTCAGAGCCTGGAGGCCTTGGCAGCCTTATCTCTCACCACAACACATCCCTGCTCCTGCATTCCTGCCTCTGCTGACTCCTCACCATTCCCTGGATGTGCCCTGCACGTTAGCCTCTCTGCCTTCACTCAGACCAT